TGGCATAAGGACAGCTCGTGAGAAATCAATGTAGTTTGCTACTGGACCGTGATGAATCTAAATTGAGATCGCGCGCTCGTTGTACGCCGTAGCAGAGACGAGATGGAAGCAATGTGGATAACAGATTCTTGGATCGGATTATTAATAGGTTACCTTCAGCGCCTAGTCATCTAGATATCAGTGCGACCGTGTGGCAAACACCTTCGACAAAAAGATGCACTCACTCTGAATGTTGCTACGTGCAGAAGCTGCTGCTCCGTGCAAGGTAGGGAAGATCTGCATCCAAGAAGACCACTGTTATACTATAAAGCAGTGCAGCTGGGACTGGAGTCTACGAAGAAGATAGAGATGATGCAGGTGTAAAACTCGCACACACATACAAACACCAGACACCACGTGAGCACCATACAGTCCAGCTTTTATTGTGTGAAACTTACTCCATAAGTCAAGCAAATGTTCCATACTCTACAAGTGGCCACAGGTAGGAGGCACATAATATTATAGATGCTATCGACAGTGAATCGCCAGGAGAACGACAAAGCGCCTCAGCCAGTGGAAGGATATTAGAAGGTCTACGGCTACGCTGTGAAGCAGAGAGGCACGAACACGAGAGTGAACGATTTCCCGGTCGTGTCACAGTAGAGTGAACTCTCTAGATGTTAAGCGCAAAGAGTGAGTATATTATTCATCTGTAGAACCGTTCCACAACAGGTCTAGAATAGAGGCCTGTTGTCTGCGTCGATTGAGCTCTGAAAATGGTATCTGACAACATGCTATGGTCTAAACACATGTAGAGTCATACCCGGGTGCCTACGTTTACGTCAGTGATCACAGGCCTTTCGCTCTCAAGCTCTGGATGTAGTCTGATATAGCACATACTCTTTATTCAGAACTTTACGAGGATTTTTGATATCCAACGTGCTAGAGCGCTCTAGAGATCTGGCCTTTGCATATATATAAGGTTTACCAGAATTCACCTTTCCTTTCATATCAACATCAGTCCTTGACTTAAGGCGCTGTGGTTTAGAGATCGCTATAGTCTAGAGTGTAGAGAAATCTGCAGAGGTTTATTTGAGAGTTTTCAGTGCAGGGTTTAAATCTTTTACCAGAGGCTCCAGCAGCCTTAGAACAGAAGAGAAGGACCGCCTTTGTAGGGTTGACGGATTTAGACAATGAATTCTCCTCTATATTAGAGTATAACACATATTAAACAAATATGTAAGAGACTTATCTGATTCCTTATACTGGATCACTATCTCTATAATATTATGTAGAAGATGCAGCAATAAGAAAAATATATTAAGATTCTAAGAATTGATGTGCGCCAGAACTCAGAGAAGTGACTGACAGGAACACTTGGGAGTGGTTTGAAAGGACAGATTTGTCTGATTAGCGTCTATTCACTAGAATTAATGAGAGGTGAGTCCAAGAAAAAGACGAACCGTGTTGATGCTATGGCTAATAAACAGAGCGCACCTTGGCGGAGTGTAAGTCAGGATTATTGAAGTTAACCGTCAGAAAGTGTCAGTAATCAATTCGCGAAGGCATGAAAGATAGAATGCGAGATCTATACTTAAGCCCACTCAAATGGCTATACCTTCGATGTGGGCTGAAGAAGGCTAGTGAGTTCTATGTAGTTTTTTAGGTAGATAACTAGAGATAGGTTGATCATATTTAACATCAATGGTACTAAGAGTAGCTGTAGATAATATTACATCTGTGGGATGATTACTGGTAATTTTTTCTCTAATGATAAAAATTTTATTTGTGAAGAAGTTCATGAAGTCATTACTAGTTAACGTTAAAGGGATGGTTGGCTCAAAAGAGCTCTGACTTTTTGTCAGCCTGGCTACAGTGCTGAAGAGAAACCTGGGGTTGTTCTTATTTACTTCAATCAGTGATGAATAGTAAGATGTTCTGGCTTTGCGGAGGGCTTTCTTATAAAGCAGCAAACTATTTCTCCAGGCTAAATGATGATCCTCTAAATTTGTGACACGCCATTTCCTCTCCAGATTACGAGTCATCTGCTTTAGGCTACGTGTTTGAGAATTATACCACGGAGTCAGGTACTTCTGATTAGAGACCTTAGTTTTCACAGGAGCTACAGTATCCAGAGTTGTACGTAGTGAGGAGGTGAAATTATTAACAAGATAATCGACCTCTGTTGGGGTAGCGTTCAGATAGCTGCTCTGCTCTATGTTGGTACAGGGCATTGAAGATGATAACAGTGGGTGGATTATATTCTTAAACTTAGTTACAGCGCTTTCAGAAAGACATCTACTTTGATAAAGTCTATAATGGATTGATTTATATAGCGCTTTTAGGTACAGGGCATTGAAGATGATAACAGTGGGTGGATTATATTCTTAAACTTAGTTACAGCGCTTTCAGAAAGACATCTACTGTGATAAAGTCTACTCTCCACCGCTGTGTAATCAATTATTGTAAATGTAAATGTTATCAGGAAATGATCAGACAGGAGAGGGTTTTCAGGAAACACTGTTAAATGTTCAGTTTCTATGCCATATGTTAAAACAAGATCTAGAGTGTGATTAAAGTGGTGGGTGGGTTCTTTTACATTTTGAGAGAAACCAATTGAGTCTAATAACAGATTAAATGCCATGTTGAGGCTGTCATTTTTAGCATCTACATGGATGTTAAAATCACCCACAATAATTATTTTATCTGAGCTCAGAACTAAATTAGATATAAAGTCTGAGAAATCAGACAGAAACTCTGTGTAAGGCCCAGGTGGACGATAGATGATAACAAGTAAGACTGGTTTCTGAGTTTTACAGCTGGGGTGGACGAGGCTAAGCATCAGGCTTTCAAATGAATTAAAAGTCTGTCTTGGTCTTTCATTAATTAATAGGCTGGTGTGAAAAATTGCTGCCACACCGCCCCCTCGGCCTGTGCTTCGAGGTTTCTGGTAGTTAGAATGACTCGGGGGTGTTGATTCATTTAAACTAACATAATCATCCTGCTGCAACCAGGTTTCTGTAAGGCAGAGTAAATCAATTTGTTGATCAATTATTAAGTCATGTACTAACAGAGACTTGGAGGAGAGAGACCTAATATTTAATAATCCACATTTCACTGTTTTACTCTTTGGTTCAGATGTGGATACTGTATTGTTCTTTCTTTGTAATTGTTTATGTTTAAGTTGTTTGTTGCTGGTTTTTAGTTTGTTTTTTGTCTTTTTGGAAGCTGACACAGTCTCTATGGAGATGGGTTTTTGGGGGGTAGCAGGAGGAGAGAAGCTGCAGAGAGGCGTGTAAGACTGCAACTCTGCTTCCTGGTCCCAACTCTGGATAGTCATATTTTGGGGGGTTTAATAAATTTGTCCATATTTCTAGAAATGAGAGCTGCTCCATCCAAAGTGGGATGGATGCCGTCTCTCCTAACAAGACCAGGTTTCCTCCAGAAGGTTTGCCAATTATCTATGAAGCCCACATCGTTTCTGGGACACCACTCAGACAGCCAGCAATTTAAGGAGAACTATGTTCAATAGGTTTGCCAATTATCTATGAAGCCCACATCGTTTCTGGGACACCACTCAGACAGCCAGCAATTTAAGGAGAACATGCGGCTAAACATGTCACTCCTGGTCTGATTGGGGAGGGGACCAGAGAAAACTACAGAGTCCGACATTGTTTTGGCAAAGTTGCACACCGATTCAATATTGATTTTAGTGACCTCCGATTGGCGTAACCGGGTGTCATTATAAAACTCAGTGATGAGCCTTTCTGTTCTGCCTTTTATAAATTACGCTGGATTATACAGTTTGTAAACTGCCCCAGAGCTCCCTCTAGTGGCTGCTTTGTAGTATTGTTCAGATTGCTTTCCGAAAAAGAAAAAAGCTGAATGTAATGCCAAAGTATTATTGTTTTAAGCTGACAGGGACCTTAAAGTGTTGTTGCTTTGGACGAGATCTGTCCGTAAGTATGAGTGATGATAAAATAATAATTGTCTCTTTGTTTTGCTTAAAGTTGGTGTGATAATTTGTACGTTTGAGTATGAACGTTTTATCCTGTTAGCTTGCAATAAGCATGTAACAAGCTAGTTTGCGATGTTAGTTAGCTAATACAACATTTAGTATGTTTTCAGTTTTACGATGGTCAAAGAGAAGGCAATGGTCAGAGGCCATTCTTCAATAAATCAGCAAAGGAAAATAAGTCTATTGGAGCATGTTATCTCTGCAAGATAGGTAGCAGAATGGAATCAATGTCACTGTCTTGATTCTAATAGTAGGGCACTAATTATTTATGTACTTGAGACTTCACCACCACTCTTTTCTGATTGACTGTGTGCAGCGTGGTCTGACTACATCGGACCGCGCTAGTGTTCAATCCAGATGTACTTGTCACGAGGTCGAGTGTCGTGTGAGAGTTTTAGGTATTCACTATGTAATACCTCACTAAACGGAAGGAGTTTGACAAGTCTCATGGCGTTATAGCTTCTGTTCTCGCCTATCGTTGATTGTAGTTCCTGTGATCTAGAGGTTACAATGGACTTGTTGATCTCAAAACTTTCGCCCACGTACGTAGCTGTGCTCATACTGGGGCTGTCTGCTGGTGTCTGACACTGTTTCTTCGTGGCTGGGCTTATTAAACACTGATTCATTAAAGAAATTAACACAAATCTGAGACTGCACGGCTGGATGTCATGGCAGTGGACGCTATCGTTTATGTTTGGCGACGCTCGTCTCCTGCTAGACACCTTTGACCTCGTCACACAGCAGCTGAACGCTCAGCTTGCTCACGTCTTCGGGAGTTCCTCTCACACGGTTCATGTTCTGGACTCTCGCGTTGAGGGTGCTCTACAGATTTGCCTTGTCGCTGTCTCTAAGATGTGAGAGTGTTTTTCTCTTCAGAGTAGGAATGAGTGTCTTTGTCACAAGGTATCCGTTGGCTGTTGTATGCGAGTAACTTAGTCCATATACACTGGAGAACAAAGTCTACGAGCAAATCCTGCTCACAATAACACCTAAAGAAATAAGTAGTCTGCAGAGCGTCAGTCTTCATGGATGTTCGGTCTCTGTAACGCTGGTTTTGATCTGTCAGCTCGTCCTCTTCCTGCTGACGCTGGTGGACGGTTGGAGGATTGAGGTCGTAGCGGCTCCACACCACTGTGGAGGGTCCAGATACAAACGGGATGTGACAGGGCAGCAGGACTGACTCCGCCCCCTCGTACACCTCCAGGGTGAGGACTTGGTGGGACACTGTGAGGACACAGAGACACATGAATCAGCTGTTTGTGTGACCTGTAGGTCACATGACCACCTGAGATTAGAAACTAGTTCTACAAGATTGTGTCTGTGTAAGAGTCACGAGGTAATGCTGCTTTAATCATGACTCCAGTTGTTTTGGGTTATTAAATATCTGATTATTCACTTTAAATCATGTTGTTTGTTCTGAATCTGGAAGTCTTAAGTCTGAGACCTGCAGAACAACTCAGGATAATCTCAGAGAATAGAATAGAATAGAATAGAATCTACCTGGTGGTGGGTTTCACTCATAGTGGGATGCAGACGCTTAGGCTGATCGTATGTTTAGTGTCTGATAATATTAGATGACGAGGTCTGAAAAGCCATACTCACGTGTCTTCGTAGTCTGCACAGACCTAACGCGAGTGGGACCTCAGTATAGACGCGCTGTTTTCACAGGCAGTGTTCTGCTGAGGCAGTGTGGTTAGTAATGAGTACCTCACTGCAGATCTCATAGTAGAGACAGCAGCATGGTCAGCTGATGCGGACTGCTCAGACATACTGTACGTATCTTAGGTGCATCTGAATAGCACAGGCTTACGTGTTGTTTGCATGAATACTATATTGCAGGCTGTGACATGTGGCTTCATTGGTTCAATCTGCAGGAGAGAACCTTACTGTAGTGTGAATCAACCATGCTGACGCTGTCTGACCTTTTAATGATGTCAGTACGGTATTTTGATTGGAAGGTCGTGTCTTGTTCCTGTTTCCCTGCTGTTTGCTGAGAAGCCTGACAAAGTGTTAACATCTGACCTCTGATCTGTAGCTACAGCAACGACCTCTGGCCTCATACCTGATTGTACAGCAAGTTTTTTAGCTTGTTGCTGACCTTTGACCTGCAGCTCTACTGTACTCAGTGTCCGTGTGTTTCCAAATGCAGTGATGGTGCAGGTGTAGGTGCCGCTGTCAGAGGTGATGGGGTTCCTCAGAGTGAGGCTGAAGTCTCCGGTCCTCAGAGAGTCCGTCTTCATGGACGTTCTTCTCCTGTAACGCTGGTTTTGGGCTCTCAGTTCATCTCCTGCATCATTACGCTTGTGGACGATTGGAGGACCGAGGTCATGGCGGCTCCACATCAGAGTGGGACGCAGGTACAGAAGTGTCCTTGCAGATCAGCAGGACAGACTCCACCCCCTCATACACCTCCAGAGCCGAGGCATGCTGGGAAACTGAGGACACAGAGACACAAACATGAATCGGCTGTGAGTGAGTGTAAACCTGAACTCTGCATCAGTTCACTCTGAGTTTAGAGTCACACAAACCTGTGCTGATATAAAACATCAGCTACCTGAAGTCCTCAAATATAAATGAGATCCTCTGTTCTTAGAATGAGATCCCTCTTGGTTCTTAGGATGTTAATTGAACGCTGCCACACATCTCGAAAAAGTGACCGCCAGTTATGTTGGAGGTAGCGAGAGTTCAACAATGTTTAGCACTGATGCGCGACAAGCGCTGTCAACCGCTCAACTCGTTTAATATCTCGATTTTCGATAGAGGTTTGCTGTTGTGCCTTGTTAGCTATCAAACATGAGGCATCTAACTATAAGATGAGATACAACAAGAGCTAAAGCAACACTTGTCTTAGTGGGCGTCGTGGAGATACGACATCTAGCAGAGTTAGCAATATCTCTACAGAAGATAACAGTCAAGCTGTTGAGTTAGCTCCTGGTAGAAGCAAGCAGGGGTACGCTCTATAGATATACAGAGCCATAGATGTTGTATGGCTCAAGCTGACTAAACAGACGTGTAATTCTGGACAGGAGAGATTATTAACCACACAGTTATATTGTGTGTCTGAGCACACTACACTATACATTACTGATTAGAGACAACACCTTAGTAACCACCTGTTGGTTGTTATATTTGTTCTGACGATGTGAGTACGATGATGGCCTTGTACAGATAGTTAAAGAACTGAGACACACTAGTGCCCAGTTGTCCGGTTTATATATGTCGTTGCGCGTGTCTTTAGTGCAACAGGCATGTTCTATAGTATAGATTCTTGGAATGTGATGGTGTTCAGATTCGTTGCTAACAATCACACAGAATGTGTTCAGTTTACTTTGTGCAGGGTACACATTAGGGTTCAGGCTATTTTAATCATCAGTGTACTTTAGAGGCAGGACACAGGATGCAGGTATCACACGTCGTGTTGGCTGTAGTCGGGGCTACTGGACTTTTGTTTAGTTTGTAAGAACAATATACCTCTCGAAATGAAGACGCATTAGATACATATTGTTTTTGACCATGAGCTCTTCATGACGTAATGATTGGAGCAGTGAAGGGCCCATGTAGAATAACGACTTGTACCATTACACTGCCGTTATGATAGCCCGACACTGCAGGTGTTCGCCTAGAATTGGCCTCGCCGATGCAAGGAGAAGGAGGATCGGAGGAAACTGCGCCAGGTGGTCTGCGCTGCACTCTATGCCGCGGAAGGAGGATCGGAAACTAGCGTGGCTGGCAGCTTTAAGACTCAAACACCCTCCAAAGAGAGTTTATGTTTGCTCCTTTCATTTTATCGATAAAAAGCCCACAGAGCTACACCCCGACCCGGAGCTTTATCTGGGCTATGACCGACCCCCACCGAAGAAAAGAAGAAAGCTCACTCGGACCACTTTGAGTGTGACAGCTTCCAGTAATACGAACAAAAACACAGAATCTGTACCCGGTAAGTGAAAGTGTAAATGTGGTTTGCCACCGTTTCGCATTTTAAACACGCAATTCTTTACTTTTACTAAATAATAGCCTATGGTGAATGGCGTTAGTATCAGCACTAGCTGGTTATTAGCAGCAAAGTCTCAATTTTAACGAAAGTTTATAATAATAATAATAATGCCAAAAGATTAGCTCCAAGGGCTGTAAAAGTCTTAGGTTTGTGTTTATAAAGAACATGTTTTTTCAAGTCGAGAAAACTCAAGTAAAAACGTTAAAGGCAACCTTTGCAAAAATACCAACAGTTGTGACTTTTTTTAGAATGTAAAATAAAATCTAATCACAGTAATTGAATAAAATTGTGACAAATTTTTAGGGGACTTAGGAACATTTTATGTTGACATTTATGATTTTAGTGTCAATAAGTCATTCCCAAGGTGTCTGAAGAGCGAAAGCGAGGAACGAAGACTCACCATAGTAAGCAGAAAAGACGCAATAGTGTCATCTTAGTGTTTTTGCTGTATTCCATGCAGGGCATTCTACCAGGCATAATTCAAGTTTCTGAAGAGCAGCAGAACAATTACAAGAAGAAACAAAAGAGCAAAGTGCATCTGATTTGTGGCACAACTGAGGAAAATCAGACTTACAGCAAGCTCGCTAAAAAAGTTCCAGTACGTGCCACCACAAAAAATGACAAATTTTTATCTGAGCACATGTACCCTTCCTTTCGTGGGAATTATGAAACAAACTATGGTAAAGAAAATGAAGTTAAAGCTTGTCATCAGCTGAAAGAACAGGGTATGAACATCCTTCACATGGGTAGTGTTATTAGCATCCAGGAGCCATGGCTCTCTGCGAGTCCTGACGGGGTCATTGACTCAGATGTGCTTCTAGAAATAAAATGTCCTGTGCAGACTTATCCTTCACTCACGGAGCAGCTTACCCAGAAATGCAGCGATATCAAACTGGTAGATGGAGAACTGCAGCTGCAGAAAACTGGCAGCAGAGGCTATTACATGCAAGTGCAACTCACAATGTTTTGCACAGGGCTCAAGACTGCCACACTTGTGATCTGGACACCTACTGAGCATGTTTCATTTACAGTGCAATATGATGAAGCATTTGTAAAGGAACAAGTAAAACGCTTGAGAGGGTTTTACTTCTCATATTTCTTACCTCGACTTGTAGAGGAGTATGCAGCAGGACGGTTTCAGTTAAATGAGAGATACTTGAAGATAATGGGCAAGGTTTAATACATGTTACAACTATAAATGGGACAGTCAGACACCAACATGTCTGCAGAGTTTGGTCTCTGTCTGGTGAATGAAAGAAGACATTCAATATGAAATCTGTTAAATATTTCAATACAACTAAAATGTACGTAGTTGTAACATATGGTGGGAAATGAATGACAAACTGACAACATTAAATGTTGTGAATAGTTCTGTATTTCTGTAATCTTCCAACACAAAAAAATGTCAAGAATGCACAACTAATTATTGTAGATTTGAGAAAAACATTTTTTTTTTTCATTTAAGAAATTTATCACATTGTGGTTGAATAAAAAAGTAATAATTGTTCAATTGATTGATTGCAATTGTTTTATATATACACATACATACATACATACATACATACATACATACGCACACACTGTATCACATAACCTTTCATCTAGAACACAAGATAAAAAAGTGAGACCTGGAATTATTTACTCTCTCTACATATATGTACATCAAATTTTAAAATAATTACATTACACTACACAACTTTATGTCCTGAGTAACCATCTTAATATCCCCGAGTCCACATTTGTTCATAACATACACAATTATTGTGTATCACGAATGAGATCCTCTCTTAAGTTCACTAGAGCAGCACATATTCTCAGTATCTTGTCTACTTTAGGAGCCATGCTTATAGGAACAATTTGTGAAAGTATTTTGTAGACTTTCAAGCGTCTGATTGCTCTTTCAACATGGATTCTTACATTTGCAATCCGACGTGTGTATGTTACCTGTTCCTCAGTTAGCGGTCTACGTTTTTTTGTGAAAGCGGGTATTACTAATCTAACTTTTCTCTCAAAGAGTAAGTCTTTAATTGTAAAACCTCTATCTGCCATGACTTCATCACCAGGTTTTAGGTATGTTAATATTCCAGAGTCCATTGTGATAAATTTGTCACTACATCGGCCGCCATATGCCGCAGACACAAACATGATTAGTCCACATGGTGCAACAGCAACCAAATATTTGACTGTGTTGTGTGAATAATAATGGCTGCATGATTCCCCTCTTGAGCCCAGATTTCTGGGTTTCTGTAAAAGGGTCTCACTGCAGTCTATAATGCATGTAGTATTTGGAAAGTTCTTCTTGAAGGCTTCAGGCATAGTTGCTTGAATAGTTTCTTTTGGCAGCCATGGAATTAATGGTCGGAGAACTTCCTCCAGCTTGTCTAACCAGTGTGAGATGATCTTGCTGGCCATGCTTTGTGATATATGAAACTGGCGGCTTAGGTCACCTATTACACGGTTACTCTTTAATTTCATAAGTGTCATGAGGACTTGATCTCGGACAGGCATGGTAAATTCATTGTTGTCATATCCTTCCAGTGTCAGATAAAGCTCCGGGTCGGGGTGTAGCTCTGTGGGCTTTTTATCGATAAAATGAAAGGAGCAAACATAAACTCTCTTTGGAGGGTGTTTGAGTCTTAAAGCTGCCAGCCACGCTAGTTTCCGATCCTCCTTCCGCGGCATAGAGTGCAGTGCGTAGGGCGGTGGGCACGGACAGGCCTTTCTAAGTTGTTGATGCTCAAGGCAAAATGTTTCTAATGCGTTTTTCAGTTTTCTTGAATTATTGTGGCAGCCGACGACAGCACACGTTGAACCCGAGCTCATCTTCGAACAGGTAAAGCCACTTATTACCGCACAAAGTAACTGATTTTGTTGTTAGCAACGACTGAACGCTGGGTCTCGCTTTGAGTAACCGGAAGTATAAAACCGGACAACGGAAGTAGTGGTCTGTCATGGCAGCCTACGTACGCTCTTACAGAAACCTGTGGATAAATGTTAAGTGAAGAAGAGATACCGTGTTCTTCCCTTTGACTTCTGTGAGATGAACAGTTCATAAGATGGTACCTAAGATGTTCACTGTTGAAAATTCCAGCAGAAGACGTTCCTCGCATTCCTGCAGCCACATGCAGACACTGATTCTCCAAGGTGAAAGCTGGATCACGTCTATGCACACAAAATCCAGACATTAATGTAATTTTCACTACTGAAACTACATTTCCCGTTCAACATGTTAATCAAACGTATGTTTTGATCATATCTTTGATCAAGAATAAAGATGGTTTACTGTTAGAAAATATGGAAAAGCCCTGTTATACCGTGCATCATTTTAAGCATAAAAGGCTGGATGATAAGACTTTTTACCCTCTCAGATGTGATAGGAAAGCCGGGGCAACTTCAATCTCTCCCTCAATCCCAGCTTTCTCAGCACCCAGCTGTCTAAGCTAAGGGTAGTTTTAAAACAGCTAAATTAGCACCTGCAGAGGAATGGTTTATTCCAGAGTTTCAGTCAGGTTTCAGAGCTCATCACAGATGTCTGTGCTTGTCCTGCTAGACCTCAGTGCAGTGTTTGATACTGTTGACCATAATAATGTATTATAGTGATTAGAGGATGCTGTAAGTATTACAAGTACTGTGCTGCAGTAGTTTGAATTATATATATCTAATGGGCTAGAAAGAGAGAGCATCTTTCTCCTATATTGGTTTCTCTTTAATGGCTCCCTCTTAAATCCAGATTTTTATTTTTATTAAGTGTACCTATTTAATGATGGTTTATTGATTTATTTAGCAGACACTGATATGCTATTTTTGTTTTGAAATCTCTATTTTGAAGTGAAATTCTCAACCTGATCATTTGTCCCTCAGGTATAGGAAGTTATGATGAGTACGAGCTGAAGTCCATTGCCTCTGATCCGGACGAGAGTCACATGTACCTAGTTAGCAACTTCCAGTTCCTACTGGACATCGTTGACAATGTCACAATCAACTTGTGCAACAGCATAAAGGCCTCAGGTTGGTAATGAGTAACTGGAGCATTAGACCAGCATCACAGTTAGCTTTAGATACATTGTTCAACACTTTACAAAGCTGAAAGGACTTTCCAATTTTAGTTTTTCTGACAAGAGGCTATAGCTAGTTATTTGAATCTGTTGTATAACTCTTTTAGGAAGTGTAGAGTGGCACATTTTTTAGTGATTTAATAAAGGCTATTGCCCTTTAATTGTTCAACATTGCAATCATGACTTTACTTTCATGGCTTGTACTATTATTTAGAATTAGAAATAGCCATGTAGGGCACACCTTTCACCATCTTACAATGCTGTGATTACAGCTATTCCCCAACTCTCTGTAAATGGTACTCATGGCCACTGATCATTGGTTATTGATCAATGGTCTTTGACCAGTGGCTGTTGATCAATGGTCATGACAATTTGAATATTAATGATCAAGAAACTGGCCTCACAGCCCATTGTTCTTTAGTTGTGCTATTTTCAGTCATTGTGCATTGGAATGAGAATTTGCACCCCCAAATCTGGGGCCATGTTCTAAGCTGGAGAAGGGTGGAGTGGAGGACTTCAAGTATCTCTATCTTGCTCACAAGGGAGGACAAAGTGGAGCGAAAGATTTACACGTGGATTGGTGTGGTGTGGACACTGTTCTGATCTTTTGTGGTGAAGTGAGAAGTGAGCATAAAAGTGAAATTTTTAATTTACCAGCTGATTTACGTCCCTATCCTAACCTATGGTCATGAGGTTTGGGTAGTGACCAAAAGAATGAAAATGGTCGGGAATGAGAATTCCCAAACGCTGTTGTAGAGAGAGAAAATAAGAGCGGATAGAATGACCAACTCACCTCAATATGACATTAATTTTACTTCACTTTATTATTATCTATTTAAAATTTCAAATATTGTACTAAACTTGTATTTTTGAACAGTGGTTCTTTTTTATATGATCTGCTTTGCACCTTTTCTTGATCTCATTTGGATTTCCATTGACGTCAAGGAAAACTGATTAGGAAAACCAGATAGGAGGCTGCTTTTTAGACTACTGTGTTTATTACTGCAGTCCCTTAAAAGAGCTAAAACGTCTCCTAACTTGTTTTGAACAGCTGAGCAGCCTTTTCCTGGAGCAGGAACATGTAAATAATTTTGGGAGCAGGTGGCGCCATAGATCACAGTGTGGGAGAGGCTACTTCCTACTGAGAACACAGGGCCAGTTATCTGACGAGAAAAGAATCGACAGTCTTTTCTGTGCCTTTGTCTTCTTTCCTCCTTATGTATTTCATCTCACTCTTTCTCACTTTTCTCTCACATACAAACAGTTAAAATAGGACTCAATAGGTGAGGTGGGTATTTGTTGTGTACCAGGTGTCTCACTAACCTCCCCTCCTCCCAACAGCACCACCTCTCTCTGGAGATGCTCAGTGTAACACCACAGCGAAAGCCGACATCGTACTGCTGGTTGACGGATCCTGGAGTGTTGGACGCGTAAACTTCAAAACAGTCTGCAATTTCATTGCTCGTGTGGTCAGTGTGTTTGACATTGGCCCAGAAAGTGTCCAGATCGGTAAAGGTTGATTTGATTCATTTAAAAAGTGGGGCAAACGAGAAGAAGTTTCAGAATCACTACTTTAAGTCAGCTTTCCTCTGATTGGCTGTTCTTTACAGGCAGATGATTTAAACAGCAGGTGGGTGGGGCTTCTGTGCCTGAGATGACTGGATATCTGGTTTCTTTTACGTTATGCTGAACATGTACCAAACATTTCGACTAGTCTGAAGCCTGGCTTTACAAGGATTACTTGTATGTACACTAATCTCATTATTCAAAACTTTGTTTACATTGAACATCCACCGTTGGAACAGTGTATAGATGGCAGAAAATAAGGAAAAGCAGAATAGTTTGTCCCTCTTTATTTGTAGTTGTTATCATTTTGTCTATTTTGTGAAAAAGCTGAGGATCAGAGTTTGTGTATCTTTGGTGTTCTACATTATTGGATGTGTTTTCTGCAGGTCTGACTCAGTACAGTGGTGATCCAAGGACTGAATGGCAACTCAACGCCCACCCCACCAAAGCATCCCTGCTGCATGCCATTGCCAACCTGCCACATAAAGGAGGAAACACCATGACAGGTGACTTTTTAACACCATTGCTAGGCTCCCCCCATCGCAATGTTTCCAACTGAAGTCTTGGTAAAACATCTTTGCTGCTGTGTTGTAGGCTTGGCTCTAAACTACATGCTTGAAAACAACTTCAAACCTAATGTGGGGGTGCGTGGAGACTCCCGCAAAATTGGCATCCTGATCACTGATGGAAGGTCCCAGGACGAAGTCATCCGAGTCTCACAGAAACTCAGAGACAGTGGCATTGAGCTCTATGCTGTTGGTTAGTGAGCTTGGTTGTTTACATAGGGAAAAACTGCAAGGAAAGCAGCAATGAGCTACAGACTGTGATTTAAAAAAGAAAGAAAGAAAAAAGACCAGCAACAATACTCATGCTTTGATATTTAAATGATGGTTCAGTTGGTACTAAGGGCCCCACTACCATTTCCACCACTACCATTAGCCTGAAGTGTTCTTACAAGGCAAAATGGGTCCACACTTTTATGTTGTTTATGCAAATTCTAATCTCAGCATTTAAATGTTGCAGTAGAAAGAGAGATCTCAGGAGTTTCCAGTCTTGCACTGATCAATTTTAACGTCAGTTTCCTGTTCTTTGCTAACAGGAGTGAAGCTTGACTGATTCATTTGGAAGACACTGATATTATTTTTGTTCTTAGTCTCTGTTTAAATGTATAATTCTCAATCTGATCGTGCATTTTTCTGGTAGGTATAGCTCATATTGATGAGAATGAGCTGAAGTCCATCGCCTCTGATCCAGATGAGAGTCACGTATACTCCGTCACTGACTTTGAGTTCCTGCCGGACATCGTTAATGACCTCACAATCAACTTGTACAACAGCTTAAAGGGCTCAGGTTGGAGACACTGGATAATTATAAGACCAGCATCTCAATAACTTTTATGAAATCTTGCACTGGTCAAGATTTCAAAAGGTCGGAAATTAGTTGGAGCCCAATTCCTTGTATGTGTACATATACTATGAAACTGATCAAGCTGATTCTTAAAAGAGTAACCAAACTGCATTGTTTATTAATGTTGTGTAGAAAACCTTTAATATAGCTTGAATAACTTAATCTCCTAAAATTTTGAAGTGATTTAATAAGTGTACATTTAGTAAAAATATATATCTATGATAGATTAACATTGTCACGTCACCCACTGGCTTGTGAATTTTAAACCCTCAACTTTAGCTTAACGATTATCGCTCTGTTGGTTTTTGAGTCAGAGGTTTCCATATTTAGACAAGACGGTGGAGCAAAGCACTGATAAATCTACTAATTAATACTAACTAATAGACTAATACAGTTACTGTGCAAAAGTCTTGAGCCAACTCTTATACCTTTAGATTTTCTTCTGGGGAACCTGACTCTTATAATTTGTTAAAGTGGTTTTTAGCAATAGCTTTCCATGCTTCCTTCAGGACTTTCCAAGTTTTTCTTCATACATTGGCTGCTTTTCTCCAGCTGTCCAGTCCGATTCATCAGAGGCTTTAAAAAAACTGTATTTTCAAAAGAAATGGAAAATTCTTACAATTATTTCATGGTTCAGGCTTTAAAGATTAAGCACTCATTGGCACAGCAGCGTTTACCCTGTTTCAGCAATGAAACTGACGACACATGACACACAGGAAATAGAAATTACTTTGTTTTTGTTATTCACAAATCAATTCTGCACTGAAAACAGAAGATTATCCTCTTAGCTTAGCTGAATGATAAAAGGATATGTGATATGTTGCATCGTTTGATGTCAACATGATGGATTCCATTCTCTGTGCTCTGTCTCTTATTCAGACGATGAGCCACTGGGGGCACCAACCAACCTGGTGACCTCAGAGGTGAAACAGAGCTCCTTCCGTACCACCTGGACTCCACCTGACGGCACCGTGGACCAGTTTCGCGTCACTTACTCGATAGCACCCGGAGGACCCCCCAAGGAGGTGAGATGAGCTCTCCCCTTTATGTTATTTTGTAACCAGAGACCAGAGGCTTTTAGCTCCCACCATCAGAATACATGTAATTCATACTGATGGCAAAACTCTCATTTCATTTATTTGTGACAACCCAAATATAAAAATATACACCCATCAGAGCATAAACAGTGTATAAAAATGCTGCATAAATGGTAAATGGTAAATGGCCTGCATTTGTATAGCGCTTTTCTAGTCCATAGGACCCCAAAGCGCTTTACACTACATTCAGTCATCCACCCATTCACACACACATTCACACACTGGCGATAGCAAGCTACATTGTAGCCACAGTTGCCCTGGGGCGCACTGACAGAGGCGAGGCTGCCGGACACAGGCGCCACCGGGCCCTCTGACCACCACCAGTGGTGCATAAGACTCATTGAGTCTAGAGTTTTACATTTCAGAAACTTATGAACAGAACCTGGCCCAGAAAGTGGCCAATGCCACACAATAAGAAACAGAAAATTAATGCAGAACTGAAAACCGTGTTGAAGACCCAGAACTGTGACACTCACAAAATCCCAAAAGTGAGTCCAACTGTTGGTTTGAAGTATTCTTTGGTTTTAATCAAATCCACCTGTCATTTACTCGTTCACTGGTCAACAGAATAAGAACCATTGCTTTATCGTTTCAGCTGCAAGTCGAGGGATCAGTGACCACTGTAGTGCTGGAAAATCTAAACCCTCTGACTGAGTACATCATCAATGTTTATGCTGTGGTGGGCGAGCGGAGCAGCGAGCCTCTCAGGGGCACCGAGACCACCCGTGAGTGTTTCCTCTTCTACAAAAATTAAAGAACAAAAAAAATTCATCATTTTATTTAGTGCATGGACACTATGTTTGATGTTCAGGTTACCATGTGCACGACAAACTAGTTCCATCTTCGTCTTTGAACTCTTCCTTTCAGGAGATGGATAGGTGTCATTTGAGCGGTGGGGGCATCATTCAGAAGAAAGTTTAACTCCTCTTCTTCAGTCGTTTCCACTCCCCCAAAACCAGTCAGCCACTTGAAAATACTCCATCTGTGTCGGTCTGCGTGTTCATATCTTTATTTCAGTGTTTTTAGGATCATTATGATCAGTGCCAACTGCTTCACCACCATGGTTAACACTTCTGTCTCACAGCAATAAGATTCCTGATTCCAGCTCCTGGTTTCATCCTTTGTGGAGTTTGCATGGTGCGAGCACTCAGACTCAAATTGTTTATAAATGTGACTACATTACAGTTACTTCATGTACTCTCTTTATGTTGATCCGAGGATCAATAAAAACAACATGGCTCCCATGATCAACAAACCAGTTTGTGGCTCTTTGTGTGTAGAATGGCTGACTGTTGGTGGATAAAGGTAAAATGTATGAGTCCACAAAACTGAGCTGCTGTTTCCAACTAAATTACTGTGTGAGTACAATCCGCACAATAGCGTTGATAGGTGTGGTTAGTTTTTCAGGTGTGTTTAAAAAGTGCAGTCAATTCATTTCAGTGTGATGAGCCTAATCTGACAAGTGCAATGCACGATCTCCGTGACATCTTATGTATTGTCGAAGTGTAGCTGAAACTGTGTAGTTCCACCTTTAAAAACAGTCATGTTGGAGATCACAGTGAAAACCATGTTCGTTGTCCATGGTCTTGAAATATAACAGTTTAATTTGAGTATAATAAAATGTTATTGCAGTAAAATATGAAACCAATGTTACCTTCAAATCATCAAACCAATTCAAAACATTATAATTTCAAGAACTTCCCACCTCTACTCTTTTGTCCATACACCTCTGGATGTCGTAAGAACTGGGGCAGGCAGAGCTAGTAGCAGCACCTCCCACCCCGTTAAGTAGCAGATCGTGTGGAGACTCTTCCCACTTGAAAGGAGGCTGAACTGGGACGACATCCAAAGAATAAAATCCAAAGAACTGCAGGCCTCACTTACCTCAGTTATGGTCAGCGGAAAATAAGAAATATTGTGGGAAAATATTCTGTGTATACTGTGTAAATAAATTAAATTTTTATCTTGAAAAAGAAGGAAATTTGAACAAATGATTATGATTAGAAGACAGAATTGACAAGGCCCTGGGATGAGAGGAGAAACGCCTTCACAAAAAGTCCAGCCTCTTTCTCTCCAAGGTCCTTAGATTAGGAGACCGATGAAAGATTTTTAATTTTGTGAATTATGTTTAGTTGTAGCTTCATTTAAAGGAAGAAGAGCTTGTGAATTGGAACCACCATAGGAAAAGAGAGTGAAGCCATATGTGTAGAAGAATGCGGTGACATATGATACTACCTCCTGTGTTAACAGACAAGCTAACGGTCTCTCTCTCCTTTTATGGGAATGTCTGAATTTCTATACATACCAAGCTACCTCCTGTTTCAGCAGACAAGTGAACAGTTTTCTCCTTTTATGGAAATGTTTTTGTATTCTGAACATGCCACTCCTACTTCCTTGAAAGCTCATTTGAAGTATAAATAAAGGATGCTCTGAAAGCCCTGGGCGGTTTCCCTGTGTCACATCTGTTGTGCACACTTGGTGCAGAGCAGATCGGACCGTGACCGTCCATGCGCATGTAAAAAATAGATATCTGAGTTGTGAGTTTCTTTATCTTCTAAACAATTTTCTCCTCACATTTTCTTGGTCCTCCGAGCCGGAGAGGAAGCATCGGCCGCTGTGTCCTGACGTCGTGGAAACTGCACTGAAAGTCTGTCGACAGCCTCTTCTGGGTAGGAGTGAAAGTCCAGAGACGTGAAATTCGAGTTCTGGCCAGTGTCATTAGGTGGTCCACGACGTTGGGATCCAGTGGCTGACTTTCAACATAGCCAGAGAGTCTTGGGGAGGTAAAGAAACCACTCACTTACACTCGCGTAAAACGAACTTAGGTCTTATCCGCCGAAAGAATTTAATTAGTCTAATCCACTGCACGGATTTGTAAAATAAAAGTTTTAGGGCTAATCCGCCGAAAGGATTTCAAAATAAACGTTTTAGGACTAATCTGCCGAAAGGATTTCAAAATAAAAGTTTTTTAAGGATTAATCTGCCGAAAGGATTTCAAATTAGGAATTTTTAGGACTGACCTGCCGAAAAGGTCTGCGCGACTGTGTAAATGTCTGTGTAAATGTTTGTGTTTTCTGTGTGTTGAGAGTGAATTGATTTAAACAGCACAATACGCTGCTGAATCACTCTCATTGTTATTGTTATTTTATTTCCTGTCAGTAGCTGAAGTACAGAGAACGGTTGAGTTCCGCCTCATAAAACTGACACCGCTCCACTAAATAGAGTGGAGTAGAAGGG